TTTATAATGTAGGTATGTTATATGCCAGGGTTTTCATGTCACCTTTGTGACAATGTGCATAGATGCTGCCACAAGGACGATCAGGATATAAATATTTGAGAAATGTGCAAACCTAGTGTGAAGGCATAATGTGACCAAATTGGACATACTCCAATTTAATATATGCAGATGGTAGTTCATTTAGAAGTGTGAATAGATTGACAAGAATGATTATTGATGCTTGAGGAGATTGTTAAAATTGAATGCAGTCATATATTGTGATGGAGTGATTGTGTGTGAAACAGCTGTGGATGATTAAGTGCTTGAATTGGTTAGTTAATTTAATTGCTAGGTTTATTTGATAAAAGGTATTTGTGCAAATGAAGTTAGAGAAGCACAGGTCAGGGAAGGAAAATGGCTGATGCCTTAAAAGTACCTCGTAGGAAAAAATAAAAGAATAATTTTTTAGCCAAATGACAACATGGAGTGGAAGAGCATTCTTCAGTGACTTTTGTACCACACATTTGTTTGGGTCACAATGTGATAAATTAAATAGGAAAGCTGTATGATGTGTGGGGTGGGGGGTGCCGTGGGATATGTTAATTGTATGTCTATCACTGTGCAGTGAATGATATAACAAAGATAGCAATTTTAACCTTCTGTTTTTCTCCCCACAAAGCTGGTGGCTATCTTACTGTCTTCAGTACAGTACAATGCAAATATCCAGTTATTGGCGATGGTTTCAAGTATACACGTGATCCCATTTCAAACTAATTCCAAACAACTGTTTTACTTATCATTGTCTTTGCAGCTTGTTTCCTTCTTTTGAAAATTACTAAAGGATATCTTTACATAACCTTTCCATAGCCTAAACACACTAAACCAAGTTGTACCTAGCTAAATTTATAAATTAAGATTGTCTTGAAAAAAGCTCGGATAAATTGTAAAAGCTAGATTGGATGGGATGATTGTTCCTAGTTCAACAGACGTAAGTTATTTTTATGCAATGGTATGTTGAATAATTAAAATCTTCAAAACGAGTGATTTTTGCCTCCTTTCGAGGCATTTGAAATTTCTGAAAATATACTGTAGTGAACCTTTGTCTGCACAGAATTGGTTAACCATTTGAGTTATTGTGACCAACGCAAAGCACTTTAACTGTACTCTATGGGGGAAGGGGAAATCATAATATACATGGAAATACTGGAAGGTGAGGTTCCAAGCCCTTCACAATAAAACCGCAATGTACTGGAGAGAGATGGCAAGATTTTAAATATACAGTACTCGATAAAAAGCAAGATTTTCACAATTGGAGAATTGTGTGAACATAATTGGTCCAATATTTTTGAACCTCCTAACAGCAAATCAAGAAGTAATGCAATAAGATTAGTGGTAAATTCAAGAGGGACCTTGATAAGTTTCTGCAATAAATACCAAGGTGTTGGGTTGAGAGTTAAGAAAGCTTCTGGGATGCTAGCCTGAATTGCATCAGTGGCCAGGAAAGCTTGGTCAAGGCCCAGGCTGCAAGAGAAGCAACTGAATAACTAAACGGAAATTGCTTGGCTGCTATGCACCTTTATTTACCACCTATTACTTTGCAATTCACTATATCTATAGGTATCACTTGAGTAAATAATACCAGTCTTGGAGCAAGCTGTGCACTTCAAGATTATAGCAACTTCCTGTATGGTGCTTCACATTGCAAATAGTTATTCTCACTTTACACATATTCCTTTATTTACGTAAATATTGTCCGGTGTCATTCATCCTTTGTTACTCAGACTTAAAGTACTAAGGCTGTAGGTGTTAGTCAATAGCCTGCACTGATGACAATTGGCAAATCTCACCCTGTTATTTAATGGTATGTGATGTATCTGGCTTGTACTCAGAATCATAAGCGAAAAAGTCTACACATAATTGGAACAGATTGGAAGGAGCAATTGTTGCCGAATCTGAACGTGGTAAAATAAGACCACGCAAATTTAAGAACTGTTTGTGCAAAAATTTGTAATAAGCTGGGACCTTAAAATAAGTATGTAATACATACCATCAAACTTGATGTCCACGATTTCTCGATGTCCTCGATTGTTCCGGCAATATTTCTAATAGTCGCTGGTAGGACTTCGAACATTTATACAGTGTTATAAAGCATACATACTATACAGTTATAAAGCAGTTTACGCTGCTTTACTTAGCAGTTGGTAGATACCCGAGAGTTAGCAACTGCTGGGGGTTCAGCCTGGGCAATATCGGTCTCGGGTCACCAGGGGGGACCGCTGTGAGTGCAGGCATCCTCACAGACAGAAGACAACCATAATATAGATGTTGTAATAATTAGACTATTACTGCAAAATTAAAAACTTGTCTTGAATGCAATTAATATTCTGGCAAACAATACCTGGACATAGTGAGCGCTTCATAACAAAACTGTATAAGAAAGCAAATAGGGACAAGACCAATTTACTAGGGAGAATTGAATTTGACACATGAACTGGGAAGCACAAGAGGCAAGAATAACAAATAGCTTAGGCCCATAAGTGGGCCTTAGGCACTTGTGTACAGTATTCACCTAGTTGTGCTTACGGGGGTTGAGCTCTGCTCTTTCGGCCCGCCTCTCAACCAACTGTTACTACTATTACTACAATTTTGGAAATTTGTAACTCAAAATATGGTTAGAAAATAAGAATTTAACCTTTCCAAATAGTTATATGTGAAGAATGTAATATTTATAAATCATGAAAATTGATTCACAAATGACAAATTACCATGATAGAAAACACTCACTATAATGTCCAGTGTGTGTCGTGCAAATGTTTCTGCTGGTCAGTTACTGATGTCACATGGCAATAGTGTTAATCTCTGGTAAAGTATTGTCAGCAGCATTTCTACTTGGTGTCCCTCTTGAGGAGACGTCACGCACATGTTCCAGTTACACATATTTACTCTTGCATGTGTGGCTTTTAAGTGGTTCAGAGCATTATGAAGAGAAAGGTATCTTGAATGTGGACAGTATAAAACTGACGATTTAGAGTAGTATAATGATTTAGACAGTTTAGAGAACGGTATGTGATTTAGTACATTGCAGATGAAAGAACAAGCACATACTCCTTGGCACAGATCTGTTTTCTCAAATGACCCACGAGTCACTATTATCTCCAAAAAGATAAAAGCCCTCAATATGTTGAGTTACCAACCAGGCATAAATTACAGTATACTATACCAACAAAATTATTTATATTAACTTTTTAGAGCATGTAAACCACATGAGTTGCCTGGGACAGCCAGCCCAAGTAGTTGGCCCGTCAGTTATAGCAAAAAGGGGCAATACTGTATACAGTACCATTTATACTTCATAGTTTGTTTTTTCCACCAGTATTTTTGCCACATTTTTCAACTGTTTTTAGACATGTTTACTGTGTCTGCCGAGTTTTTCACTAATGGGTCCAAGTCTGCTGATGGTGTTGGATGCTCCATTGTTTTTATCGATCAAACCTATATGTGCTGCCTAACCCAGAAGCAGCATGCGCACTCAGCAGGACTTAATGCAATTTTGTGCTCATCATCTTTGCATCAACTTTTTGTCATTGTGGTTCTCTGTGCCCTTATGACTGGAGTCTTGTAACCCTTTGCCTCCTGTGGTGGTCAAAATCCAATACTGATCATTTCATCTCTGGCAGATACAAGGCAGTTGAATTTTGCTGGATTCCCAACCATATTGGTTGCCTTGAATGAGCTTGTGGAGACTGCCACTAAGGAGGCCAATCATGCTTGCAACATTTTTATTTCGGTCATAATTCCTGCAATTTGTGACCCTTGGCAGATCATTGAACTGACATTACAGGAAATAAACTGCATGCTTTTAAAAGCTACCTTTCCCCTTGGCCTTCATCCTATCGTAATAGGCGATGGGAAATGGCTGTGTCCAGCTTGCGTATCTTACACCCACTTAACTCACGGTCACTTAAGAGCCATGTTCAGTTCCCGTTTGTCCAAACTGCATTGCCCCACTGCACCTGTCCTTGCAGAGTGGTCTAATTTTTCAGGATGATTCTTACTTTTTTAATGTCTAGGAATCTTTGTCCCTTGTAGAATCCTTGACGAATCGGATACCTTTAATATCACTCGCCTTATGTCCTCCTGTTCTCATATTAGCTCCTTGAGTGATGTTTAATGTTAGCCATATAACACTCTCATTAACTCTTGTACTGCAACTTGAATGCTACCCCTCATTGAAAGTCCTCCTCACTCTCCTTTATCATCTTTTACTGGAAAGCTTGCCCACTTTGCAGGATTTTGTGCATGTCCACAATGTGTCATCGTACCCCCGATATTGTTCCAACCTTACCTTAGTGGAGTCTCACTTGTTCAATTTTGTCAAGCCATCACTTGTACAGCGAAGGCTTACACCCAAGCACTGTCTTGAAATGCCTTTTCCTTTAATATTTTCACCTCCATTCCTATGCTACTGCTCTACTGTAAAACCTCGGTAATTTAGATTCCTGTAACCCGAATCTTCAAGTAATACGAATAGTCACATTAAGGTTTTACCTATTCTTATATTTTAACCCAAATAAGAATTTAGGTTATAAAAGGTTGTACTAAACGAGAGAGAGAGAGATGGATTAGTGCTTGACTTCTTGACTAATATAAATTCGAGTTACTGCATTTTCTGCGGAGCGAGAAATTTAAACGTATTGAAATTTGTTCGTTTTTGGGCGTTCCCAGTATAAAAGTTGGCCAGTTCAAATATATATCTAACTTAAATGGCAGTGAGCTATGGTTTAGGTTACCGAGTATAGACAGTAATTGAAACCCCCCCCCCCCACAAATTCTGAAAGGGTTTAAATAAAAACTGTTTACCTTAATGAAAAATGAAATGGCAGGAATCCTGCAATTGCACGTTACCAATATTGTTTGCTAAGACATGTTTGTTATTAATACACAGTACTGTATCTTGCAGCGAGCTATTTTTGTACAGAAGCAAGTGTTACTTGGTTCGGTATTTTCCTTAACTGTTGCCGATCTAGCAGTGGACCTGCGCCCCCAGCCCCCTCCCCAGGAGCAGCAGCAGGACCAAGAGGGGAGTGGGTGTATATGCTAGGATGCGGCCTTCATGTTCTAGTATCTCAACGTGTCCTCACACTTCTATCCTTACACCAAGCAACACCTGGAAAGCCTCCTCATTTAATATTTGTTATCTTTGATTCTGTTGCGTGTGTTTTACTCTATAAAATGTCTAGATATGTTTATTGTTATTTCAATGACTACATTAACTTTAAAGTTGAATCATTCATTATAATTAGGTAGGAATAATTGTTATCTTCATTTATTTGGTGCTTTTTATATATATACAGTAAGTGTCTTCCTTTTTGTATAATTACATTTCTTGAATTATGGTATATCAAAGGTATATCTTTGATATCAAAAGCTCTGGGATGTATATCCCAGAGCTGTTGAGGGTTTTGTTACACTGGCACAATGTCCTTCATGTATTTTGGATCCCGATTTTAAATATTTGCAGATTTTGTTAAGTGGTTTTTATGATTCTTCCTGTCTCATTGATATCATTGTATTGTTGTAAGTCAAATTCAATATTCACTTAGTTAAGCACTACTAATTCAACTACAGTATTTGTATGAATGTGTGTGTGTATACATAAAATATATATATACAGTATATTAAATATAATATATATTATATATTACAACACACACACACACACACACACACACACAGCTGTTTTCAGTACAGTATATGTTTTGTAAATGCCACAATGTAGAATCTGCAAAGATTTGATTTATTTTGAAATTGCTAGTTAATACCGGGTCCTCGCCCAAAGAGTTAAAATTAATGCCATCTACTTAAAAAAGAGATACTAAATGTTTTTTAGGTGAGGAGCATGACTTGCTCCTCATGAGGTGAGGAGTATGGCTTGCCAAGCTTTGATAACAAACTGTGGCTTTTATTCGAATGAACGACTTCCTTGTTAAGAGTTTGATTTAAAAATCAGTGTGTCCAAAATGCTGGGAACCTTTGCATATTTACGATATTTTCACCTGATTTGATTTGAGCAGAAATTTGTCCGAAAATTAAAATTGGTGGTCACGTGTGTTAGGTGAGTGCATATCATACAGGCAAGAGATTATATTATATACAGTACGTATGTATGGGTGTGTATATATATATATATTATATATATAATATATATATATCACTGATACATATGTAATGTAACATTGTATATCAAGTGATAAGGTCACTACTTGAATCAGACTGACTTTGCTCATTTTCATGTTGGTTGTTGGAGAGCAAACACAGTTGTCTCTTAAGATTTGCTGACATTGTATGCTGCAAGATGGTACACCCCACAAAGAATAGTTTTAAATATCAGTGTAGATACCGGGTATATACAGTGGGTTTTTTTTCTCTCCCCAACACTAATTCGTTCTATTAATACTTTTGACATCGGCCGAATCATTTTGCATTGGCTGTTTTTAATATTTCATGGTATAAATTTGAGTTATGGTGCGTTTTAAGCTTTGCTGCTGTGACATACCACAAATGTTAAAATTTGCCTCTTAGGCAATAGCTTTATTACTGATAAAAGTGAGAGGTTGCCTACTGACTGCACGGGAGAAACTGGAGCATACATATTACAATATAAGGATCTTGGGCTTTAGATGGGACTGGACTGGATCCTTTCTTCACTTCAGGAAAAATGAAGAAAGTTCTGTTGAAATCCCATACAATAAATATACTTTTTTTTTTTTTTAACCTCATGCAATGAGGATAAAGTCCACAAAGTGAAACACATACACATTGCTGACATTAGACAACATTGTCACTGATGTTGGTCTATGAGGTCAGTGATCTTGACTTCCTTGATTTGTGGGCTTTATCATCATACTTTGTTCACAACTTTGTGATTGAATCATATATATATATATTTATATGGTAAATCTAAGCAATTATTAAAAACTATAAACATGACAAGTTTAAAACTATCATCTCAAATTATAATTTCATTTAATATATTGGCTATTGTATTACCTGCAAAAACAAACAATTTGTTCAAATGATTTAATTACAGTACAGTATGTGAAATTACTTAGAGTAGTAGCTGAAAGGAGCACCCCTCTTAATTGGTCCAAGTCTGTAAAAAAAATTATATCCTATTCTTATACCGTTACTTTCATGGTTGCTTTCATAAGCAGGTTGAGGATCGGAACTTAAAAGGATCAGAATTTTCCTCAAAGATATTAATGTTGCTGTTGGGTCTGAATATATTGCCAAAAATATCAATTATAACATCTTCTCGAGTGCTCAATTCTCATTGTGTTTTATAGTGGTTGTTCCAGCAGCAACATGACAACCTGTGATTGCTTAAGGTACAATTCATAGTTGCTATCGGATTGCCAGGGATTTTTCTTGTGCTAACAGCCATCTCGGTGAAGTAGAACTTGCCTCTAGTCTGAGACAATCGTATGTTATAATACTTTCATTTATCTCTAGTTGGCTTGCCATACACTTGTAGCAAATTGATAGCAATTGTGAATTGCTCCATCTTGTGTGTGTACTATCTAACATTGTGTTGGGGTAATGAGGGACGATTAAAGCTTTATTGTGATTGGCTGTTGTCTTCCTTCTCTGACCAAATATCTCCCTCATTACCCATACATAAGACTGGGATTAAAATAGTAAGCACTTGACTTCTAATTTTGAAATAGCAGAGCTTTTAGATGTTAGCACATGAATTACCAGATGTTGTAGATAACTTGGTACACTTGCATTGTGTGAAGAAAACTGCTTACTCAACATACAACTCTTACTCTTAATGCATACAGTATTTGTTATAATTCAAGCTAGAAAAAATGGCCATGTTCGGTAAATATTGCTTGCTTCACAGGAGTATTCATTTGCTAGGTATTAATAAATGTAGATAATTCTGCAGTAAAAGGTTGTATTGTATATTCCATTTTTGGGTCCAGATAGATTATTCAGGGTAATTCATAAGTAATGGAATGATAGGGTAGAGTTTAACTCATTCCAAACATGAGACATAATGCAACATACTCAAAAACTCATTCACTCGGCATTTAACATTTCCTTTACCCTTACTACTTCTGACAAGGGTTTAACAATCTACCAACTTACTTCACTTTTAAAGAAGCTTCACCCAGGGTTATAATTTTTAATTCTCCAGAATATTAGAAAACTATTGGTCTTTTTAAAATATAAACCCATTCATTATCACATGAATGTTTACCTGCCACCATGTGGTGTATTTACCCTTAGGTCTGCGTAGGCAAAATTGATTCATGGACTTAATGTTTGTTTGACACTGATGTTAAACCATAAATAGGTTATTGAATATTGACTTGTCCATTCTGTATGAACATTCAGATTTGCTAAAGCTGATTCAGATTTATACATTTGGACCTCCAGTATTGCATATCTCCTGGCCACTTTTGAAAAATATTTAATGCCAAGTATGTGGGTCTATATATTAAATATTTTTTATAAATTTTCAGTTTTGATGCTGCCCAAGATTCTTTTCATCGAGCATTATTCTGTTTTATGCCCCATTTTTGCTTAATGTACTTCACACAATTTCATTCAATTATTGTTGCATAAACTCGAGGAAGAAAAAAAGAAATTCAAGGAAACTGTAAATCTTGACTTGATATTTTTTCAAGTTTAAAAATGTACACTAAATACATGTTTTGAACTTTATATAGCTTTAAATTGCTATAGCCATTCAACAGTATATTGTCTGATACTTGTAGAAGCAGATAATCTTTTTTTTTTTTGGCTTTCAAAACAAAAGTACCACAAATAAATAGAAACTGACCAAAGACAAATTGTAATTAAGGAAGAAATAAAAGTAGAGAAGATCAGAAATGTGTGTTTAATATTTCACAGCAATTGTTTTTTAAGCAATTTGCTTGCAAAGGTTCCTTCAGAGATGTTAATCCTCCCATCGTAATCTTTCCCCCTCCCCCCTCGAGGGTTTTACCTTGCCATAGTGAGAAGGCACTCATACAGCACCCTGGGGCCAGTGAGAGTTGCCTTGCCCCTCTTTGGGCAATGCACATGCAAAAAAACATGTGGGGTTCCTGTTGAAAAGGGGAGCAACGTTTAGAAAATGAGATTGACATCAATTTTTTTTTTCATCAATCTTCTGCAAGGTAATTTTGTTAATTTGGTAGTTATGCTGTGGATTGCTATGCCCTACATACAAGACTTTGCAGTTTTAAACGGTAAAAAGCATTTGCCAGTCTTTCAACCATTTGTAGAGTTCATGTAGGTCTCTTAAGTCCTCCATATCATTTTCACTTCCCACTTTATCATAAATCTTTGTCATCTGCAAATTTTATGTAGATTGTAATATTCATTAATGTATACGATAAAGGGTTGGCTCCAAAATGTACCCTCGAGGTACCCTACTCGCCACATTTACCAAGTTAAATTCATTTCTGTTTAGGACAAGCCTCTGCATTCTTTGTTTTAACAACTGTTTTAGCATTTTACCATTTATTTCATGTGCCTGTAATTTCTTTGCTAGTCTTTCATGTAGTACCTTATCAAAAGCTTGGTGCTACATAACCTTCCCGGTTTGGTGCCTTCTTTTGATACTTAATCAAAAGCTTTAGCAAAGTTCATATATACTACATCTACTGGAAATCCTTTGTATGATTAGCGGGTTACTGTTTCCAAAAATGCAGCAGGTTTGTATGGCAAGATCTATCTTTTGACAAACTCGTGTTGCATTAATTTTACTAGATTGTTCACAGTAAGATGGTGAATGATTCCCTGCCTTAGGATTCTCTCTGAACAATGTGGAGGATATTGAGCCAGATCACTTCTTCAAAAGGTCAGATGTAAAACAAACAAGGAAGAATGGACAGAAAACAGGAGATGCTTTTCACCCATGGAATTGCCTACACGACGAAACCATAAGTGCCAAGACACTACCGATTTCAAAATCCAGCTCGATAAAATCATTAGGACTATTATGGAAAAATGACGGATAGAGCAGTCGCTATTCTGGCTGGTGGAATGCCAATAACTTGAGTAAAAAAGTAAATAAAACTGCTATAGATCTCTTACGTTGTGGTAGCTGTAGGATAAAGAACAAAGTTTTTTTTTCATTGTCATTTGTTATATTAAAATATTTAACAAATTAAAAAAAAAATCCTCAATGACTTGGCTTATATACACACTGCAAAAATATAAGAGGCAAACATGCAAACGTTACATTAAGATCAAAATAAATGATGCTGGAGTACATGAGCTGCATAAATCTACCACCACTCAAGGGAGAGAGAGAGAGCTGATGTAGCAGCTAGAGCACTGAAGAGTATTCTGCTGGCTAGTGTTGCTGTTTTAGATTCAGCTACTCTGACAAAAAGTTCCAAGTAGCACGGGCTATGATGAGCCCGTTGTGGTTTACCTGGCACAGGAGCGGGGCTGTAACTGGTTGGCTAGTGGCTGGTGAGCTCCTTATATACACAGGTGAGGCCATGTAGGTGGCATTGGTGTGCAGTAAATTGGCAGACGCAAACGAGCAGTAGGCTTGTTGACCAGAGGGTGGTGCTGGCCTCCTAGACACCAGGTGTGTCGGAGTCACAGGTACTGGGGTGTAGAGAGTAGTGGAGTCTGTCTAGCTTGTCTAGACACAGGCTTCTGATCACGTATTATTGTTGCTGTTTTGGATGTTAATTTCTTACACTTGAGTATGCAGATATGTTGTCGTTGAATAGGCGATGAAGGAATAGGCCCAGTCTCCTTTCCTAAGGAGATTCTCGTGACAGGACAAATGGGGGAGGGGGAGACCTTTGACAAGCTACCTGCTTGTAGCGAGTAAACCTTATACTCGCTTCAGTCTCATTATCTTAATGGCATAACTAATTAGCACTAACTGCACAAGCTATAATCCTATCCCTATTTACAGGTAACATTCTTTCCATCCTGGTTGGAGGAAGCTGAGGTGTAGTCACCGTATATAAGCAAGAGAATTGCGAATACCAGACAGTACAAATTCCACAATGATTCAGTGAACTACTATACAGACGCTTAGGACTTACCACATCTCTTAAAACCTCAGGAATGTAATACTCAGCGTGTACAGTTCTAATCGATCCCAAGATGCTACAAGCTTCAACACAGGGCAGACAGCAGACTACGACTGCATCAAGCTACAACGCTCTCGCTCCCCATCGAGTTCAGATACTCACGATTCCCCATGGAGCCGCCACGCTCTCCAGCATAGAGCTCTGCGACTCTGGCCCTCGCTCAGCTCTGCGACTCTGGCCCTCGCTCAGCTCTGCTCCAAGCTCCGTCTGAAAGTCTACGACAATGCCACCAACCGACTACTGTAAAAAAGACTACTAAATAAATATAAAACTCACTCAACATTGTGTATCTAATCTACCCAACAACGTAACATAATCGTACGTTACAGGCTTTGTCCTCGTTGAGGCCACTATAGAAAGAGTGGCCCTCAGGTAAATTTTACAAGGGAGATTGGAAGATTTTACAGCACGTAACCCAACCAAACTGGGCCATGCCCGGGGGGGGGGGGGTCATACCGAGGTAACTAGTGACCATTCAGTCACTGGTGACCTTAGTTACCGCGAGGCAAGGTGTTGAGTAGCCGGGTTACGTCTTCCACCTTCCCGGTGTTCTCAACACCGAATTGTCTATTATAGTTACTACAAATTTCATTTGCTTTGAGGAGCTTCCCACGACCAGCGAGGTGGAGCAGCAGTGTGAAGAGGGACCACCCCTAACTTACTGGGCTGTGCACCAAGGCCTACACGCTTGCTCTCGTGTTTTGCTGGAGTCAGAGAGGTTTGTGAAGTGTCTGTCATATACATACTGGGGGACTTTTGCATGCAATTACACCCAGGAAAACATTATCGACGGACAGATGCGAAGGATAATTATTATACGAGGCAAAGATTTCACTAGATACTATGTAACGATCCATTGAAGTAGTTTTAACATATCTCATTTCTTTGGGTCACCGTCGACGTTTATATGCTCGACTCGGGCTGCAATACCGTCCGGGACAGAAACGGTTGGGCAACTTTCCTTTCGCCTAATGCCTCGGTTCATCTATCAGTAAACAGATTCCTGGGAAATCAACTGTTGTCGGGTTGCATCCTGCGAGGGACAATACTTCCACCTTGGGAGGACTTCAATATAAACTTAACGTGTGTATATATGTATATATGCAGGCTTGAAGCAAGGTCATCCCCACACAAGGTGGGGGGACAGGCTTCTTGTCCCCGATGAAAAGAATGATTAAAACACATAACAGCTTTCAGCAACTTAATTATTTGTATTTTTGATTTATATTTATTATAATTTATATATGTGTCTATATGTAAATTATAATTTATATATTATAAATGAAATTATACTTGCTTACCCTTTTAAGTAACGTTTTCTATAGTTACATTTAAAGAGAGAACGTGAGTTTTGTCGCGTGTTTCGTCCCGTGTTGGAGACATTAAAGACATCATCATTATGACAGCATGTACCATTAGAAGTTTAGTTAATTGTGCATCTGATAGCCATTGTACGAGTGACAGTGGGGAAGACAGAAGACCTTACTGACTCGTGCTCTCCACCAAGTTCAAGTATGTTTATTAAGACAAGAAAGAAATACATCTCAAAGGGATAGAGTAGCTTAGGCTATTTCTACCTCTCCTCTACTTCAAGTCCCTCAAGGGGCGCACAAATTCAGTGAGTACAAGTAGACAAATAACATTACAAAAATCCCATTTAACATTGGAGGTTAATATAGTAAGCACAGCATATAATTGTTACACTCTTGGGGCAAAATTCTTGTAGCTCCTAAGTATACTGTCTATCATACCATTATTACACATCCATATGTCCACAAATGTCCAACATGAAGTAGGTTCTCCACTGCTACTAATTGGTTCTACATATTTTTGTAATTGACTGCATGAAATGGGCATAATTAATCATTTTTAATATGAGATTAATTTGTTGTATCAGCTTATCACGCATGAATCAATTAGAAAATTGATATCCATTTAAATGGGTATAAATTTAATTTTATTTATTTATATATATTTAATAAAGGCTCCGGCCGTCCTCCGAATAGCACATAGCATTTTGTCGTATTAGGAAATGGTAGCGGCTCACTAAATTGGCATAATGTCCTGTTTTATAATTCCTGTGTCGGGGGGACAGGAAGCCTAAGTGTATTCATACACGTTAGCCTTTTTTTGTATCGAGGTCTTTTCCTCGATACAAAAAGGCCGAATTACTGACCCCGCCCAGGCTGCAACCCCACAATAGGCTGACTAACTCCCAAGTACCTATACTCACTGCTAGGTGAACAGTGGCATTACGTGAAAAGAAGTGTGTGCCTAACCATTTCTGTCCCGCCCGGGATTCGAACCCATTCTCGATTGTACGTCGAGAACGAACCCGACTGTACTTAGGTTCTTGGATCCTCTGGGAGGTTAGGAGAAGGGCTATAGATTGAGTTTCTTGAGGTTGGGAACGCTGGTGAGGACGGGGTGCTATGTGTGTGTGTGCAGACAAGGAGAACTCTCTTACGGGATCACCATAGCCCATGCTACTTGAAACCTTTTGTTTCCAGTAGCTGAATTTTAAACAACAAGAACAGAGAACTCGACTCCCCACACTCTAGGCCATAGACAGTTAGGAATTACGCTAATAAACCTTAACAGTCTACCTGCCATCATGACAGAAGTGAATGTTACTGTGGATCCATCACATGGAAGACATTTTACCTGAATTGAGCTATAATAATAATAATTGTTTTTACACACACAAATCACAATAGCGTCATTTCCTCGTCACGGCCCTTGTGGATTTATTCAATAATGGTTTTT